CCGCGATTTACTCATTATTTTCCGAGTTGTCAAATGGCAGACACCAGCGTCCGTCGCGGCCTGGGAGAACGTCCAACCGCCTTCACGTGCACGGGTCATGCTGTCGGCTCACCCCCGCGCTACGCCACCTGCACCCGCGAGCCCCAGCGAGACGCTTCACTCGTTAATTTGCTTTTGAGCTCGCGTAGGAGAATATATCGTCATTTTAAAAAAATTTGGGTACCGTGGAATTATAATGGAAGAATTCGAAAATGTTGAAGTGACCCAAGCAGATTTAGACCAAATCGAGAACATTGAAATAAACTTGTTGAATTCAAGTTTTAAGGTGTCTTCTGAAGATGGGATTACGAGATTTTTTTTAGTATCACAGCCGAATAAACATCCTCTCGGAAAGTGAGGTGGATCAGAAAATACTGCACTTGATTTACCAGAACACACTCAAACTGATGGCGGTGGATGGGGACCTCCAAAAGGTAAACAACGTCGTTTGATTCCATTTAATGACATTTCGGGGCCATTGCATGCGGTCCGTTCCACAATGGTGAATAAGTCTCCAGCTGATTTCTATTCGCTTTATGTCGCTGATGTTATGTTACATTATATAGTTTCTGCAACTAACAACTACGCTATTGAACAAATAGCCAAGAAAACTAAGGGCGCGTTCCCACCGTGTCGTGACGACAGATAATCGTGTAGTAATACATATAATGTTAAATCTATACACAAACAAATTTTAATTTTAAGTCTATTTTACTTTTACAGCTACACAGATATCTACAAAGTGGACACATATTCGAGATGCATTTATGAGATCTCTGAAAAATGAAAAAGAAAAAAAGCGATCTGGTGCAGGCGCAAAAACTACTAGGCCGTATGTTTATAAGAATCAGCTGTCTTTTTTATTAAAAGTTACTGAGCCCCGTATGACCTCTGATTCATCTAATGAGCCTAATAATTCTATCTCTGATACATTAAGTGATGCAGCACCTTCTACTCAAAAGAAAACTAAGGCTGACACATTAGATGATAAAATGTCACAATTTTTAGATTATAAATTAAATAATCAAGAACACCCACATGTGTCCTTTATTAAATGAATTTTACCATCTTTGGCATCATTCGACAATGATTACAATTTTGAATTCCAAACGGGTATTATGCGACTGATTGAAAAAATTAAAAAGAAACGCCTTCGTAATGATTTATATGATACTTATGCAAACTATGGTGACTACCAAAACCATTTATCACAACCGACAGGATATTTTACACAAGATCCAGGTGCATCAACTTCGACTAGCAATCAAGTTATGGAACCGGCTGCATCACCAAATTCAGTCTATACTAATTTGTCTGATAGCACACAAGATTCTTTTAATTTTGACAATATATAATTTAAAGATGTCTTTACTTATAAAACGTGTAACTCTAAAATAAATCTCTAAATAAATAAATGTATACATTAATAAAGAATTTTCATTTTATTTACTTACCTTAAAGTTATCACTAGTCTTTCTTCGGCACTTATACAATTTCTGAAATGTGTGTTTTCTCTTCTAAGATTGTCTGCAAGTCGTGCCAGTAGGCTATCAAAGGTGAAAACAGTCATTCTTAAATACTCATAAAACTTTCCATCATCACTTTTTAATTCTTCTATAAAACTCTGACATAATCCTAATGGAATTCTTTTCATTAACATTGGATGTACCCAGTACTTTCTTTTCATTTCTTGCTTCATTTTCCTTCTTTTCAAAAAGTAATACATTATTAAAATTTCATCTTCGTCCATTGAACTCAGGAGAGTAAACGCACTAGTAATCACCAAGCGAACGCAGAGGCGACTAGATTTGTAGCTTGCTGATGATGCGAGCGATCTGAGCGATCCAATGGGAACAGCTAGATACGACAGTCGCTAAACGATAAAAAATGTTGACGACAAACAATCGTTATAATGGGAACAGGCAGAGACGACAGTCGTCGAACGATAAATTAGTCGTTACGAGATAGTGGGAACGCGCCCTAATCCTCCAAAATTATCGGACTATTGGTCGAAGGACGAAGTCATCGGGCATCCTTTTCCTAGAACTGTTACGTCACGTAACCGTTTCGAAATTTTGCTTCGCATTCGCATTTTTCAGAAGATGATGAACAAAACAAGTCCGAGAGTCTTCATCGTATTAGGAAGCTGATGAACGATTTGAATGTGTCTTTTCGGCAACATTTTACTGCAAATGAAGATATTTGCATCGATGAGAGTATGGTGCCATTTCGTGGTAGAATCATATTCGGGCATAAAAACAAACAAAAGCGGCATAAGTATGTTGTCCAACTACTCAAATTGTGCTCTGTTCCTGGATTTACAAACAAAATAGATGTCTACACTGGAAAAAACGACATTACAAACACAACACCCACAAATGCTGTGATGGATTTGTGTGAAGACTACGTTGACAGGGGGCATACTTTACACACCGACAACTGGTATAGTAGCACGGATTTAGCGCAAAGACTTTTGGACAAACAAACTCACTTGTCGGGACGGTGAGGAAAACCAGGCGGGGGCTTCCTAAAAAAGTCATCAGCACCAAAACTCAAGAGGGGCCATTATTATGCTGAAGAGTCGAGATGGAATAACGGTGTTAAAGTGCGATGTACTTGTGTTATCCAAAAAACACTCTGTGCGCTTCGTCGAGATCACAAAACGCGGAAAAGTTGTAAGGAAGCCGCAAATCGTCTTAGAATACAACAAAGCCAAAGGAGGTATAGATTTAGCAGATCAGATGGCTTCTTATTCAACCCCATTGCGCAAAACAATCAGATGGTATAAAAAAATTGTATTAGATATGAATATAGCTCTGATCAACGCCCATGTTTTGTGCCAATCCGTAAATAAAACAAAAATAAGAATTACAGATTTTAGGATAGCCATAACTGGTTTTTTAAAAGTAGATTCTTAGACATTATAATTTTATATATTTTTATCTTTCTAATGACAGGCTGTGCCATTTCTAAAGATTTAAAGGATTTAGTTAGTTACTTTTTATCAAAGTTTACTTTGTTGGTTGGTTGGTTTTATTGGCTGACTTCTGAAGACTTAAATAAAAATTATTAAGATAAACTATTGTTGTAATTACCTACAGAACCCATCCATTACTTATTTGATACGTACTTGACTGAAAACGATTATAATTCTAACGACTTAACAGTGCCCTAAAAAGCCTAAAAAATAATTTCTACCTATAAAATTAATGAAAATTGAATGATTCAATACTTACTTTATGTACGTACAACATTTTTGGAAACAACTTGTTGAAAAGCCCATAAATTCTAAGTCCTTTCGAATTGTTTTGTGCCAAGTGGCCAGGTTGAACTGTAGGGCTGCGCGGGTCACTTCCATTAGTAAAAACAGTCGAACCGTTCTCCGCCGGACCCCTAGAGGCTTCTGAAGGGATCGACACATGGTCTCCGACGCGGCTCCCTGGACTCGATATACTGGCGGTCACAAGGTGTCCGTCGCGGCCCACTGGGCTGAACATAATTTTTAGTCTGGCGTTCAACGTGTTAACAATATTTAAGAAATTACACTAACCTTTAGACTCTACACATTTTTTCAAATAAACATTCATTCATTCATTCCAATAATCGGGCAATCAACTTTTTTGCCATCAGTACTAGTTGTCACCGAGACGTCATTTTGTAACGGTCAGCGAGGGCATTCTTGAAACAAAAATATAGTAATACACAAAATACTACTGGAGACAATGTTATTTTTTCCATTTTATGTATGGTATGATTTATTAAACGCAGATGATTTAATTTATTATACGCTGATAGAGTTACTCGCTGTTTAGTACTTACCTTTAAAACAATACATGCACCACTTAATTTGTGTGCTTCGATTCAATTAAAATCCCACTTAAACGAAATTGATGCACAAAATATGTACTACAGACTTGAGACGTAAGGCAAACCTTTCGATTTTATTCATCATTAATAAAAAACAACTTTGCCGGCAGTATACGCTGATGGAGTGACTCGCTGTTTAGTATTTCCCTTCAAAACATAATGCACCAAGTTAATAGTTTTGCTTCAATAACAATTGAAATCCTACTCAAACGAAAAAGATGCACAAAATACTTCAGACTTGAAACATAAGGCAAATCTTTCCATTTTATTCATTATTAATAAAAAACAACTTTTCCGGCAGTATATTATTGCTGATGGAGTGACTCGTTTTTTAGTATTTCCTTCAAAACAAATAATGCACCAAGTTAATAGTTTTGCTTCAAAAACAATTGAAATCCTACTCAAACGAAAAAGATGCACAAAATACTTCAGACTTGAGACATAAGGCAAATCTTTCCATTTTATTTATTATTAATAAAAAAACAACTTTTCCGGTATACGTTAATAGAGTGACTCGTTGTTTAGTATTTCCCTTCAAAACAATGAATGCACCAAGTTAATAGTTTTGCTTCAATAATAATTGAAATCCTACTCAAACGAAAAAGATGCACAAAATACTACAGACTTGAGACATAAGGCAAATTTTTTCATTTTATTCATTATTAACACTCCGTTACACGCGCGGGGCACAGGCGTGCCCCAGCTGCATATTTTTGTCTGTAAATCACAAAACTTAACAGCCAGGATTTTGATTTTTTAAGTAGCTGTTGCATATATCTTCGCGTGAGCGTCAGTGACGCGTCGACTGTGCCGGCGCTCGGACGTGCTCTGTGTAAGTGTTTATGCATCTTTGGGGCACGCCTGTGCCCCACGCGTGTAATTACGTAACTAGTGGTACGCGGCTTATTTGGTATTTATTATGTTTTTTTTTTATTATTTTCAAGATAATTATGTTAAAAATCTGTGTAAATTTGTTAAATTCATATTACTGTTTTTATTTTTCTTTATTGGTGGTATGATTTTCGTAATTAAATTGGACATTTTTCTTGTTTTAGGTATTTTATCTTGTAAAGTTTGTCTGATTATCTGCTAAGATGGATGCACAGTCACAACGTGTAGCTAGATGGTTGGAAGAGACGGACGAAGAGGAGGAGAATGATTTGGAGGACCTGCCGAGTAGCGAAGATGAAGAAGATTGTTGTTTAGAAGAAAGACACGATTCTGAGTCGGAGCAAGAAAGCGATGTAGGGGAACAGATAATCCCAGATACTCCATCTGCATTGCAGCCGTTATCAGAGTCAAGCTCAGACGAGGATGTTCCATTGGCCAATTTAAGGATTTACAAATCTAAGTCAGGTCTTGAATGGCAGGCCACACCATACAGAACTAGCGTCCGATCCCAAGCGTCGAACATTCGTAGTCGTATTTGTGGCCCCAAAAATGACGCTTCAGCTTGCAAAACTCCAATCTCTTGTTTTGAATTATATTTTAATGAGGAGACAATAGATATTATTACAAGATGTACAAATATATATATCGACAAAATAAAAACAAAATACCAAAGACAAAGAGATGCCAAGAATACAGACTATACTGAAATCAGGGCAATGATTGGGATGTTACTCATGATGGGTGTAGAAAAAAGTGGTCGAAGAATACTGAAAGATTTTTGGGACAATAGGTTTGGAACTGCAGTGGAGGCTATTTATCTCACAATGTCTCAAAATCGATTTGCCTTTTTGCTAAAGTGCATTCGATTTGATGACATCCATACAAGAGATTCCAGAAAGGAAATTGATAAACTCGCTCCTATCAGACAAATTTTTGACATTTTTGTATCGAACCTACAAAAGTATTATACACCGAGTGAGTATCTCACTCTAGATGAGCAACTTGTGGCATTTAGAGGACGTTGTGGTTTCCGGATGTTTATTCCCAACAAACCGGACAAGTATGGTCTTAAACTTTTTGCCTTAGTAGATGTTACGTTTCCTTATGCATACAACTTAGAAATTTATGCCGGTGCTCAACCTCCTGGACCTTTTCAGGTCTCCAACAAAGTGAAAGACATTGTTCACAGAATGTTAAAGCCTCTCGAAGGTATGGGAAGCAATGTGACCATGGACAACTGGTTTACCAGTATACCGTTGTTGATGGAACTAGAAATGAAGAAGATTACTGCTATTGGGACACTGAAATCTAACAAACCCGACATTCCACTCAATTTCAAATCATCCAAAGGTAGACCCATCAACGACTCCTTATTTGGTTTCCAAAAGAAATGCACTTTAGTGTCTTACGTACCAAAACCAAAAAAAGTAGTTTTAGTGGCATCAACCATGCACAATGATGGTACGATTGATCTTTCTACCGCTGAGAAAAGAAAACCTGAAATAATTACTGAGTACAACAGGACAAAATGTGGTGTTGACGTTTTAGATAAAATGTGCAAGCATTTCAGTGTAGCACGAAATAGTAGACGTTGGCCCCTCACCCTATTTTTTGACATGGTAAATATCGCTGGCATCAATGGCATGATAATTGACACAATGGTCAATCACAATTACCAGCGCAAATCTCGACGCGACTACTTACGTTCGGTGGCTATAGAACTTATAAAGGCTCAAATGCGACAGAGACTTATGACTAAAAACTTACCTCGGACTATCAAGGAGAAGATCATGATGTTTTTAGAAGTAAAAGAGAGTAATTTAGTGCCTGAAGATGAAGTTATACCAAAAAAGAGAACCAAAACAGCCAGATGTTACGAGTGCGGAAGAGCCAAAGATAGATCGACCAGAACATTTTGCCAGAAGTGTCAGAAGCCTGTGTGCAATGACCATAAATATCCTGTATGCCTTGGTTGTTATAATAAATATGTAACCGAGCCCAAAGAATAGTCGGATTATGTCAAAAATCTTAATTATAAGTATAAGTGCCATTTTTCTTTAGTTTTATCAGTATGAAGCCAAATACTTTTTATTTTTTGTTTTAGTACAGAAGTGTCTATTTTTTTGTTGTTTTTTGATAAGTCAATAAAGGCTGATTATATATAAAAACTATAATATTTTATTTCTATTCCTATGTTACTAAAAAAAATCACAATATTTTGGGCCACAATTGTGCCCCGCGCGTGGAATCGTGTCACTATTTTAAGCGCGTTTACTGGAGTGTTAATAAAAAACAAATTTTCTGGCAGTATACGCTGATGGAGTGACTCGTTGTTTAGTATTTCCCTTCAAAACAATGAATGCACCAAAATATATTATATAGTTTTGCTTCAATAACAATTGAAATCCTACTCAAACGAAAAAGATGCACAAAATACTACAGACTTGAGACATAAGGCAAATCTTTTCATTTTATTCATTATTAACAGCTTGACTGCCCATTTCGCACCGGTGCGTAATGCGGGAATGAGCGTGGAGGGCGCTTCTCGCACCGGTGCGGAAAGATAGGTATACAAATTACAAAGGCCACTATGCCGCGGGCTTTGCGCGTAGAGCATCGTTTGTAGATTGGTCTTACGAGTGAATTTCCGGCGATTTTTTTACGTGAAAGCGGTTTTGTATTACCTGTTATTGTTTGGCTTATATCTGCACATTATTATGGATAGTATTGCGGGTACTTCACGTACAAGAAAAAGGAGTTTGTAATGAATTATGCTGAAAACAACAGTGATTTGGAAAGAGAATTATTCGCCGAAAGTGACAGTGATGAAATTTATTATCCCGACTATGATGAAGAGGAGTTATCGTCGGAGGATGATTGCCAGCCGCCTACGTCATTTTCTGTAACTGATATCAGTTTACGTAGCCCTGTACAAAAACTGCCACAGTCCTCACCCTCGCAATCGCCACCTCATCATCAAGATGATGATCAGACAACTGATAAACCCTCTGCTGAAGAGTCCACTTCTCACTGGACTTCTGAAGGTGATATGAGACAATTTAATTTTACAAAAACTAATCGGTTTCTTGGAGAAATCAATGGAACAGAGCCAACTGATTTTTTTTACTTTTTTTCGACAAATAGTTTCCTACTATGATCTGTAACGAAACCAACGCGCAAGCAGAAAGGTTGTTTTTGTCGTCTGGTTCTGAATATTCTAGGATTACCCGGTGGAAAGAGCTCACTGTCCCAGAGCTAAAAAATTTTTTTGGTTTACTGTTTCACATGGGAACTGTTTCTATGAATAGAATACAAGATTACTGGAAGAAGGACAGGCTTTTTAACTTTCCTATATTCGGACAGCAAATGGGCAGAAACAGATTCCTTCTAATTATGAGATGTATGCATTTTACCTCAGAAACAGAAAGTAAGGATCCCTTGTTCAAAGTACGCCAAGTGATTGATTATTTCAATACTAAAATGAACGGTTGCTACTATCCTGACAAGGAATTATCGCTAGACGAGAGCATGGTGCTATGGCGAGGACGTGTCAGCTTCAAACAGTATATGGCTGCCCAGCGCATTACGCGGTGCAAGTAAGAGATTTTCTGACTTTCTGAAGCCTTTATAGCGTACTGTTACATCCCTAATTTCACTGTCACATCACTATTTGTTGAAGTAAAATGCTGACTTGCAATTATTGCTGGTTCATTCAAATGCAATATTGAAAATCAGCAATAATTTTGCTATAAATACGCGAGACTTTCCTAAATTCAGTCAGTTGGTTGTTCTTCAGCTAAACTGCTCTCCAGCTACGGACCCGGTTCTTGCCTGCCGGCTGGTTATCAGTGAAAGCTAAGAATACACTCCGGGTCTACTCTGCCCTTCACTAGGGCTATCGCGCTGTTATAATCCAAGTCGCGTATAAGTTTCATGTAATAGTAGAAATTCTATGTCCGAACTTGTGTAAAAATAAAATATTTAATTAATAAATAGTTGTCGAAATTTCAGTACTGTGTTTTTTTTATAAGTGCTGAATAGGACAATCTAACATTTGGTGTCAGAAGAAAAGGGATTTCTGAAATCCCTCGGGTCGCCTACTCCTGACGACGACCAGCTCCACACAGAAATCGGTCCAGACTCGCGATCCTGAACTAGCAAGTTGGCCACCTGCTGTCTTTGCCTGTCTTCCTGACGCTGTAAAAGGCCGCCGCCAACCCTAGTCATCGCAGACGACTTCCTTACAATACATCGCGGCACTTGGTTTAAGCATCGACCCGTACCAACCGCAAACGCTGCACATTTCATCACTTCCGCCGCATCGTCGCACCGTCACCCGACACCGACGTCACCGAGCCGCCACTGCTTCCATGAAATCGCTGTATCTACTAATAATACTGTGAGTGTTGTTATTCGATTCACGTTAATTTATTTTTGTCATTTGCATTATTTTGCGTGTGGATATTTTATAAAACTCTTAATTTCCTACTCCGTTTCACGTAATTAATTAAATTAATTCTTTAAAAATGGTTAATGAAAGTAGTAAACTTGAAAAGAAAAACGTTCAGTCGTGTTCAAGTTTGCAGACTGTAGGCATAGAGGAATTAAATCTTTCAATTCTCACTAAATTTATTTTAAGGCATACGATGGCGACAGGAATAAATTATCACCATTTATTAGAAATTGCGAAAATGCTTTAAACCTAGCTACCGCATCGCAACAAAGTATCTTATTCAAATATATAATTTCCCAACTAGAAGGCAAGGCTGAGTCCGCCTGCTCTCTTAAAATTTTTGAAACCTGGTCCGAATTGAAACAATTTTTAAAATCGACATTTGGCGAAACCAAACATAGGGATCACTTACTTTTAGACTTACAAAGTTGCAAACAAAAATCGAACGAGTCTGTCACACAGTATAGTTTACGAATAGAGACATACCTCACACGTTTACAGACGGACATTACACATTCCACTAGGGACCCTGGTGAAATAAGAGGCAGAATCGCCAGTACAGAAGACTTGGCGCTACATACCTTTTTACTGGGCTTACCTAGCCACATTTCAAATATCGTAAGGTGTCGTAATCCTATCTCTTTACAAGAAGCTATAAATCTCGCTATCCAGGAAGAAAAACTACAAAATTACATTCAATCTACTAGACCTTCCGAATATAGACCAAAATGTAAATTTTGCGGCAAGTTAGGCCATTCAGAAAAAACATGTTTTTTAAATCGCCGTCATATTAACAACTTTCAAAATGAAATCCCAAATCAGGCTCAACCTTCTACGTCTTCAAACTCGCAAAATAATAACTTTTGTAGATTTTGTAAAAACATAGGTCATGATATATCTCAATGTCGTAAACGCCAATTTAACAACTCTCGTAAAAGTAATAACTCTACCAATCAATTTCAAAAACAGGTACATAATCTCACACCAATAAGCGATTTTGATAATAAATTTGATAATTCAAACTCTGAACTAGATGAAAATTTAAACTAAATAAGGTTCCGGTTACGCGTCGTACGGAATCTTCAACTCAAACCGACGCTTTTGATCTCTTAACGAGACAATTTCTCAATACTAAATCCACTGAATCTAATACTAATCCTACTAAATCCTCTGAATCTACTAATACTAAATCTATTATAAGCACTGAATCCAATTCCAAATCCACAGAATCTAACATTAAACCTAGAAAATCCACTGTATTATCTAATACAAAATCTACTAAATCCACTGTATCTAATACAAAATCTACTAAATCCTCTAAATCAAATACCATGCCTATTAAATCTAATAAGTCTACTAAATCTACTATATCAAATACTCCTACTAAATCCTCAAAGTACAATGCAACTATGTTATCTACCATGTCATACAATGAAAATAACAATTTAAATAATGTTTCTGATTCGTATTCCAAATTATTTGAAATTAATTATAACAATAAAATACATTTGCCTCATGTGTATATCAAATCTAAATATTCCGATAAGTTACTAGTTCTTTTAGTTGATTCCGGTGCAGGTGTATCACTAATAAAACAATCCTCAATGCAAATTCAACCAAAACTAGTTTCAGAAATTGTTCAGTTTAAAGGAATCGACAAAAATACGGAATACTTAAAAAGTCTTGGTCACTTTCAATTAGATTTTATATTTCCAAATAATGACGTTATTTTCGGCAAATTTCATTTAATACCAGATTGTGTCGATGTAGAATTTGATGGTATTATGGGTAACGATTATCTCAAGTCTCATGATTCTAAAATAGATTACAGGAATAAGATTTTAGACATAAATAATCATGTTCTACAAATTCATTTTTCCAAACCAGAATATACTATTCCAGCACGTTCTGAAATGATTGTAGAATGCTATGTTCTAAATCCCGAAGTAACTACTGGATATATCGATAAGTATGAAATTCAGAAAGGTGTGTTTTTGTCTAGTTGTCTCGTTACACTTAAACAAAACAATCATGTCGCTGTATCAATCCTTAACACTAATACTGAAGATGTCAAAATAAAATCTCTTTGCGTAGTTCTAAACCCTTGTGACTTCTTAGATGATTATTTACATAGTATTAACACTCTAAATCTTTCTAATCCCATCAATCAAAATACTATATCAAATAGATCCTGTGAAATTAAGAAACAAATACGAACTTCACATCTTAATTCCGAAGAATCAAAAGCCTTATTTGACTTATGCTCTGCATATTCCGATCTGTTCTATTTAGAAGGAGACATTCTTACTTGCACCAGTACCTTGGAACACAAAATTAAAACTACTAATTCACAACCAATTCACGTCAAAACTTATAGATATCCAGAATGTCATAAGGAAGAAGTTAATAAACAGATACAAAAAATGCTCGATCAAAATATAATCAAGCCTTCAAATTCCCCCCTGGTCTTCTCCGATTTGGGTAGTTCCTAAAAAACAAGACGCTTCTGGTCAAAAGAAATGGCGTATAGTCGTAGATTATAGGAAACTAAACGACGTCACTGTCGGAGACGCTTATCCCATCCCTAATATCACTGACATCCTGGATCAGTTAGGCCATAGCAAGTACTTTACTACATTGGACCTGGTGTCAGGTTTCCATCAGATTCGCATGGATCCAGAAGATGCCCCTAAAACAGCTTTTTCTGTTCCTAATGGTCATTTTGAGTACACTAGGATGCCTTTTGGGTTAAAAAATGCGCCAGCTACATTTCAAAGACTTATGAATACAGTCCTCGCTGGTCTTCAAGGTCTCCACTGCTTCATATACCTTGATGATGTAATTATATACTCTCACTGCCTCTCTTCACACATAGAAAAACTTAAATTAGTCTTCGATGCTCTCAGAAAGCACAATCTTAAGTTACAACCAGATAAGTGCGAATTCCTACGACGAGAAGTTGCGTATCTCGGTCATATCATCACTGATAAGGGCGTCTCTCCAAACCCTGACAAAGTCAAGGCCGTATCCAAGTATCCAACACCCAGAAACCCAAAGGAAATAAAATCATTTCTCGGGCTAATAGGATACTATCGAAAATTCATAAAAGATATCTCCAAAATTACTAAACCCCTAACTTCACTACTTCGTAAAGATGCTTCTTTCAATTGGACTCAAGATCAAGAAAATGCTTTTAATACTCTTAAATCAATGTTATCTAGTGCTCCTATTCTTCAATATCCTGATTTTTCTAAAGAATTCATTCTTACTACTGACGCTTCTAACTATGCTCTAGGTGCAATACTTTCACAAGGAAAAATTGGTGAAGATCTTCCAATCGCATATGCCTCTCGAACCCTCAATAGAGTCGAAGGTAATTATAGCACTACAGAAAAAGAACTTTTAGCTATTTTATTTGGTGTAAAAACCTTCCGACCCTATCTTTATGGACGCAAATTTAAAATTGTGACTGATCATCGCCCTCTTGTTTGGTTATTTAATTGCAAAGACCCTAGCAGTAAATTAGTTCGATGGAGACTTAAGTTAGAAGAATACGATTATGAAATTGTTTATAAATCTGGGAAAACTAACCTCAACGCTGATGCACTATCTCGCCCTCCTATAATATATCCTATCAATGATATAGATCTTACTAACGATATTACATATGCCAAATTTATTCGATCTCGTTCTATTGATCTAGACTCATCTAATCCTTACTGTGAAGAAATTATTAACCTCCTAGACGACAAAGAATCTTTTATAAATTCCGAGAAAGAACTATATTCACTAAAGGATACTAAGGTTAATAATAAATTATATATCCATATGTTTACTAAAATTCATCACTATGATTCCTGTACTTATAGAGAATTATTTAAGGTGTTAAACTGTCTCCGAAATGAATTAATTATATTCCATCCTGATGTAAAAGAAATTTCTATGTCTGATTTTTCCAATCCATTTGACAAACTAGAATTTATTATAATTTACGAAATCATATCTTTTATCTTTCATAACACACATATTAAAATTAATATCTACCACAATAAACTCATTTATCCTAAGCCTAACGAAATTCCTACGATTTTAAGAGATAATCATGACTCTCCCATTGGTGGACATATTGGTTCCACACGTTTGTATAATAAACTCAAAGATTCTTTTTTTTTGGAAAGGTATGAAGAATGATATTGAATCATATGTTAGGCGGTGTCCACAGTGCCAACAAAATAAAGCTTACGTGCTTGCAATAAAGCTCCGATGGAGATAACCTCTACATGCCAGGAACCTCTCCAAAGAATAGCAACTGATATCATTGGCCCTTTACCCGAATCAGGTCTGGAAAAATACAAATACTGATTTAACAAAATACTCCATGGCTTACCCTATTAATAATTCAACAGCTGAACAAACAGCTGACTGTTTGATAAAGTTTATTTCTCATTTTGGTATTCCTAAGACTCTTTTATCCGACCAAGGTGTTCATTTTATTGCCGAAGTATACAAACAAATAACTTCTCTCTTCAAAATAAAACATCTTTTTTCTACTCCATACCATCCTCAAACTAATGGCGCTCTAGAAAGAAGTCACGCCACATTGAAGGAATACTTGAAATCTTACGTGAACGACAATCAAGATGATTGGCATAAATATCTCCCAACTGCTCTTGTATCATATAATTCGTCTGTTCATTCTTCTACTAATTTTACACCACATGAATTACTATTTGGTTGTAAACCAAACCTGCCAAGTTCCATTTATGATATCGAACAACAGTCACATACCCTGATTATATAAAAATTTTGAAACAAAAGCTTATAAATACTAGAAACATAGCCAGAGAAAATATCCGCCGTAGTAAAGAGAATTCCAAAATTTATTACGATAAAAATACTAGAAATATTACTTATAATGTCGGAGATATGGTATATCTAAAGCAGCATCATAGATTACGCAAAGCCCTTTCTAGCATTTGGAAAGGCCCATATAGAACTATTAAAGTACATAACAATAATAACGTTACTCTTTTAATTAATCGTAAACATGTCAGATATCATTTTGATGAAATTAAACCAGCCCATGATAATTCCCTTCCAGGGCCGTCGCGCCAGGACTCCTCGCAGAACCAGACATGATTACACCAATAACTAATAGTCCAGGTCTTTTCTACGATCCGATTAGTGCACTGAAATATTACGAGGGTGGATTGAAAAGTACTCGGCCTAACCAAGAAAATAAACACATACTAAATCAGTTATATTTTTATTTTTCTACATAATCACCATCAAGTTCAATACACTTTTGCCACCTCCCCTTCCAAGCATTTAGACCGTTGAAAAAAAATGATTCTTCCTTAGAGTCAAAATATGCGTCTACAGCTGCTTTGACCTCGTCGTTTATCGAAAATCTTTGACCTCCCAAGTGCTTTTTTAGGTTAGGGAACAGAAAGAAGTCTGATGGTGCCAGATCAGGTGAATACGGCGGATGCGGTAACAGTTCAAAGCCACAGTTGTGAATTTCAGCCGTTGACTGTACTGACGTGTGAACACGGGCGTTATCTTGATGAAACAGGACTTTTCTTCTGAGCATTCCTCGACGTTTTTCTTTTATTTCCTCTCGTAAACGACGTAGTAAGGTGCAGTAGTAATCAGAGTTTATAGTCTGACCCCTTTCAAGATAATCAATCATAATCACACCTTTCGAGTCCCAGAATACTGAAGCCATCACCTTATTTGCCGACAAAATCGACTTAGCCTTTTTAGGGGGTGGTGAACCAGGTCTTCTCCACTGTTGATTGTCGTTTTGTTTCCGGTGTACAGTAATGAACCCATGTTTCGTCCATAGTAACAAAACGATTCAAAAAATCATCTGCATCGGCTTCAAATAACTCCAAACAGTCGCGTGAAATAGTCAATCGCGTCCTTTTTTTGTTCAACTGAAAGCAGTCGCGGAACCCACCTCGCAGACACCTTGTGGAAACAACTGGAAAGATTTGAGTTCGTTCATAAGAGATGTCTATAATCTCGGCTATCTCTCTCATTTTTAATCTGCGGTCTCCCATTATTAAATCAAGTACTTTTTTAATATTTTCGTCAGTAGTTGACGTCGAAGGCCTTCCAGAGCGGGGTTCATCTTTCACACTCTCTCTACCACGCTTAAATTCTGCTATCCATTTTTTGACGGATGAATATGACAGAGCACAATCGCTTAATGTACTGACCATGTCATCATGGATGGCTTTTGATGATAGCCCCTTCTTATGGAGGTACTTAATGACGGCACGCTGCTCGATTTGCTCCATTCGCGGAAATTATGTCCGATTACTTTGTTAATAAATTTATAAAATCACAACTAATTATCGCACACGTTTCGAACTTCACACAATGAACTAGTCTGAACTGAACTAAATAATGTGGGTAGATTTGATTTTTAGAATTGAATGGATCTGTGTTAGGCCGAGTACTTTTCAATCCACCCTCGTATAATAACCATTGGAAAATAGTTACATATTCTGATCTATCTTATATACAGCCTCATATAGAAACATTACAAAGAATTCTAGAAACATGTAAACAAATCTGTAATACACATCAATCTACTAAAGTCAAAACTGATTGCTGGAATATCCTAAGTCCTTTAGAAAGTCTTTTTATCAATGTTCAAAATAATTACATCTCTTTATCCCATTTAACTAATGCTAATAATACTCACAAATCTAAAAGGTCTGCCTGGATTGGTATAGGGGGTCCAATCTTGAAACAACTATTTGGTTCTCTAGACGAAGATGACGCTAAGGCTTTTACTGACGCGATTAATGCGGTTCAAGACGATCAAAGACACCTGGCTTCAATTATGAAGGAAAATATTCACTTAATAACTTCTACCATTTCATCTTTTAACAATACTATTGCCAAACTTAACGAAAACGAAAATATTCTAAATAACAATATTCGAAATTTAGGCAAAATTTTAGACACTGTTTCAGCTAATACCAATAAGTTAGAAATAATATCACATTTATCAATGACTTTTAGTGCCTTAGAAAGTTCATTAATGATACTCAATTTTAACCTTGAAGATCTAATCAATGCTATTCTATTTGGGAAACAGAATGTAGTTCATCCATCAGTGCTAAGTCCAATACAGTTGTATAACGAACTAAATTCGAAAAATAATGACATCCTTTCTAGTTTTCCTTTACATTTATCTCTTGAGAATATTCATACAATAATGGATGTCGCAGAAATATCTTCATTTATCAACAAAAATAAACTAATATTTGCCATTAGAATTCCTCTAGTTACTTTTGTAGATTATAATTTATATCACATATATGCTTTACCAACTCCACACGACATTCAAAATCCAAATACTTTTGCATTAATAAATCCATCCGCAAAATTTCTAGCTGTGACACAAGATAAATTAACATATTCCGCGTTACAAGACTTAAGTGAGTATTTTAACTGAACATGTGAAAGGAATACCAAAATCCTGTAATTATAAGATTATATTAGGTGAAATAGATTTATGGCAAAGACTTAATAACAATAGATGGATATATGTCCAATCAGATATATCTAAGATATCTATAACTTGTGATGGTAAAATGAATGACTATAATATTGTTGGGACAGGTATTTTAGACTTACCTAAATATTGTAAAGCTTATCATAAGCTACTACAGTTTGTTCCGTCTCAAGAATTCGAAATTAAATTCTATGTTCCTAATCCAAATTTTAATATTATAAAAGACGATTGTTGTTCTAAAGCTACTGTAAATCAAACATTACCATATTTAACTCCTATTAAACTATCTCATGTGAATCTTGATTCGTTACAATATGCTTCACATAAGTTAAATCAAAATGAAGCAGAACTGACTAAAATCGAAAATCAACCCTACCATATTAAGTACAGCCATTATTTTAGTATAATTACTACCCTAGTATCTGTCTCTGTATTTGGATATTTTTCTTATAAACTGTATAAATGTCTCTGTCTTAATAATCGAAGAAACAGTACATCCTGTTGTATTAAAATTGTCAATACCTGTATGACTAAACCTCATACAAATATTCGAGCAAGGTCCAATATTGAAATGGCCAATACAAATTATGATACAGAAAGTACTGATTCTAATACACCAAGGCGAAACCTTGAGTTATTGTAAAACTTAAATGTACACTATAATTATCATTTTTTTTATTGCATTAGTATTATATTCCATTAGTCTTAAGTTGAAAGTTCTCTCCTCAAATTTATAATTTCTATATCGTTACTTGGATTATACTCACATACTTCTTCTCTATTCCGTATGTTCCGTTTTAAAGGGGGGGAGATGTTACATCCCTAATTTCACTGTCACATCACTATTTGTTGAAGTAAAATGCTGACTTGCAATTATTGCTGGTTCATTCAAATGCAATATTGAAAATCAGCAATAATTTTGCTATAAATACGCGAGACTTTCCTAAATTCAGTCAGTTGGTTGTTCTTCAGCTAAACTGCTCTCCAGCTACGGACCCGGTTCTTGCCTGCCGGCTGGTTATCAGTGAAAGCTAAGAATACACTCCGGGTCTACTCTGCCCTTCACTAGGGCTATCGCGCTGTTATAATCCAAGTCGCGTATAAGTTTCATGTAATAGTAGAAATTCTATGTCCGAACTTGTGTAAAAATAAAATATTTAATTAATAAATAGTTGTCGAAATTTCAGTACTGTGTTTTTTTTATAAGTGCTGAATAGGACAATCTAACAGTACGAATGCGCCGATGGGGCGACCAATTATACAGCCATCTCGCTACTCGATGTTGCAGAATGCAATGTTGAAACGGAGATAATGGACGAAGAATCAATTACTGTCCAATTACTTCAGCCTCGCGAAGGTCGCCAGGTCCATGCCATAGCATGTAAATTCTCTATCTCATACATCGCCGTTTGGTGCGGCATGAACAGCCATAGCTCTCTACTCAAGAACGGTTTGGTTTCGCGTATCATGGAGGTTTCACGTGATGAATGCCGTGTTATTCATGCGCGCGGGACTTATTCCGCCTTCGGCAAAACTTGGAGCCGGATTCGGCCCAACTCAACGACTACTATGCAAGTCACCTTCTCAGGGACCGTGACCCATGAGGGAAGCTGCGAAGGCGGATACTTCTCCGACGGGGTCAACGCTTGGGATAAAGCTCTCGTTGAGGGCAGTATCTCTATATCAATCGTAGATTACTACGCAACTCTTAGATTTGACAAAAAGGAGGTCCGTCTGCAGAATGGCTTCTCATGCGGAATGGACACTTCCAAGTGCATCGATCCCGACAATGGATACACATTTTGGGATGTATTTACCGACGATGAGTGTGATAGTAGATCATTTCATGTTTTATACAGAGGACAAGCCAAAAGAGCTAAGGTCTACGATAGAAAGAATCCTCAGCTTATCACGTATATATACTCAGTTTCGACAGAGAATTCTCTGTTTACATTGAGCTAATTAAAAAAATATTATTTAAGATAAGAAGGTACCTAAAAAAATTGTACTTGTGTAGTAATTCCTTTGTGTAGTGGTAACAATTATTTTTTTTGATTATTTAATTCATTCATGTATTATGTGTTCGGTCTAGTTTAATTTAGTTTAGTTTACGACGGGCTGTTTTCCGCAACTCCACGTCTAAGCGCGTATTTTGCGTGTGGGCAGGAATAATATGCTTATTCGAGCCATGATATCTCCCCGAAGAAGCTCAACAGTCCCTTGATGTTGCAAGCAACTTCGGGGGAGCGATCCCGGCGTGCCGAGATGTTTAGCCCTGTATGAAGCGACTTCTGGACATGTCAGCAACACGTCAGCCGCCGTTTCTTCCTCTCCCATGCATGCCCTGCACAGGGGGCTGTCAGTAACACCTATGGTGAACAAATGTTTGTTAAAAGAGCCATGTCTTGTGATAGCACTTGTTACTATCCTGATCTGTGGCTTGTTCAGTCTCATTAGAACCTTGGTTAGACGACTGTTTATTTCAGGTAGGGCCTCCCCAGCTTGTCTACAGTCTACTAAATTTTACCAAAGCTGAGCGTGTAAATTATTGAAGTATCTACGTACCAGTGAACGAACGTAGCCAAAGGGGATTGGTATTATTGGTTCCGGCCCTATAGTTGCTAGGGCCGATCCCCTTCTGGCCAGTTCATCTGCTGCATCGTTGCCTCTAGATCCACTGTGGCCCTTGATCCATTTGCAGAGTCACATTGTTGTGCTTACATACCTCATTCAATCGTTGATGGCACTCGTATATCAGTCCCGAGTTCGTCACATTGCAACTTAGAGCTTGTAGTACCGCCATACTGTCGGTCAGTGTTCTGATGGAGAAGTCTTTCACCTTCCTAGCATCTATTGCTATGGCCGCTTGGATGATACCCATGCATTCAGCCTGGAAGACTGTGTTGTGGGTACCCAGCGGTGTGCATATGGTGATATTAAGGTCTTCAGAGAAAGCCCCAGACCCCACACCTTCATTTGTCTTAGAGCCATCCGTGAAAACTTTGAGCTCTCTTAGACCCAATCCTTCCAGATGGTCAGTTTCCTTCAATTGTATCCTGTACTTCTTATCAAATAAAAATTGTTTTGGGATCCTATCATACTTGGCTTGTAAGATAGGAATTTTTGAGTAAATTCTATCGATTATATCTGTATGGGGGACTCTACTCTTACTTAAAAGATTTAGGGTCTTGAGTCTAATGGCAGCTAAAGTTGCTTCTTGTTGTATATATAGATGAAGCGGTGTTAGCTCCAGCATAGCCTCGTAAGCTGCTGTTGGTGTTGTCCTTATGCAGCCCGTGGCAGCCATACAAGCTAATCTCTGGTAACGCTGTAGCTTTTGTATAGTGGTGGCTTGTGTGTTTGGTCTAATTGGTAACTTTAATAAATACGATAGATTTCCGTACCGTACCAACCAGATGATCCAGACGGATTTTCAGATTAAATCTAACGTGAATTCACGTCCAATACGCAGTAAATATAAGCATAATTTATATACACCTACAATTAATAATTATATGTATTTTAAGAGCACCTTTTGCACAGGATCATCTGCCACCTGATATAAAAGGCATGGACTTGCCAAAATTTAAAATACAACTCAAGAAATGGTTAATACATAATGTTTTTTATAATTTAAATGAATATTTTAATAGCAAATAATTTATTCTAAGTTTTGGTTCTCAATTATTGCATACCCGATATGGGTAAAACGTGTAATATTTAATTGCAATGTCACCCGCAAATTGTACATACACAGTTTATTAGCAATAAATATTCTGATTCTGATGTTTCGTTCAAAACCTATGCCATCAGTTACTTCAATTATAGAAGAGATATGCATTTTGTTTGGTTGTTTTTATATATATTAATATACCTACTTTATTTTTCTTCATATATCTATTTCTGCATATATCAATTTTATAGGTACTATCGCCTGCGAATACTTTGAAAATTATTTCACAGAAAATTTATACGAAAAATTCGCATTGAATCGAAATGTTTACTACATCTAAAAACGATGTGCTGTAACAACCGATTACTTCAGGTGAAGTAAGAAAATTCTTTAACTACTGGTACGCGTATAAACTGACTCGAAGAAATAACTGTCAGACACTATGGAAATCGATGCTTATGCTGCAGGAAGCAGTCGTAAACGTATCCTGGATGCGGATGACAATAACAAAGAGATATCGGGCCCTAAGAGGCCGAGAATCAACTTACAGGATGTCTGGCGGCAGGTTAATGTTTTTAAATACGATTATTTCTAAAAGTAATAAGCGGTGAGGGGGAGGGTGGCGTCATTAGAATCACGGATCGTGCGGATTTCTCAGTCACGATGTCGCAGTGGTCGGGTGTTCATCGCGCGTTCGCCATCGAGGCATTTTTCAAGAGTGACGATTCTTACGTGATTGCCCGTCGACAATTTTGTTCACGTTGTACCAAAGGTATTCGGCGGATAAGTGACGGACCGAGTGTGAATTTAATTCGTTCCTGGGTGCAAAGGTTCCGTGCAACTGCTTCGGCTTTGAACACCTCACGGCCAGGGCCTAGTCAGTCTTCAAGGACTCCCGATAAGATTGAACAGGTGGAACGGAGTTTACATGAAAATCCACGACTTTCAATACGGAAAAGGGCAGGCTCATTGGGACTTCCAAGAGCCACCATTCACGAAATTTTGAAAAACGATCTGAAGTTTCCTCCTTTTAAAATTCAAATAGTTCAAGAATTGAAAGAAAATAACTTTCTTCGTCGTAAAGATTTTTGTGAAGCGATGTTGGAGCGTTTTCGTACGGTAAATTTCAATTTTTTGAGCGACGAGGCTCATTTTCATTTAAACGGGCACGTTAACAAGCAAAATTGCCGTTACTGGTCTCAATGAACCCGTAACCCTCGACTGAAACACCAAAAACCATTGCACTGCCCCAGGGTAATTGTATGGTGCGCTTTATCTACGAATGGGATAATTGGACCTTTTTTTAAAATGCCCGGGGTCAGGCGATAAATGCCAATAGTGAGAATTATTGACGCATGATTACGGATTTCTTTTTGTGGAACCTGCGAGCTCATCCATCGTTCTCATCACAAACGTGATTCCAACAGGATGGTGCAACCGCACACACGACCAGAGCTTCGATGGATTTTCTTCGAGAAGCTTTCCCTCACAAATTGATTATTTGCTTTGGAGACATCCCGTGGCCACCGAGATAGCTCGACTTGACCCCCATTGATTTTTTTTGATGGGGCTACTTCAAAGATAGAGTATACATGTGTTAGTGTATACTCTTTCTTTCAGATACACTGAGGTCCCATGCCCCAATATTATAAAAAGTACAATGAAAATATGGGTGGAATGGATGTTAGCGAGATGATAGCCAAGTAGCGATCAAATGTTAGAAGCTATGCTTCTAGCATCTGATCGCTACTTGGCATAAAACCCAAAAGTGGCCTTTGAAAGTATTTATGCAACTCTTTGATATGGCGCTCGTTAATGCTTGGTATTAATATCGCGAAGCATCTTTGTAGAATAAACAGAAACCTTTGGAGTTTCTTGATTTTAAGCTGTGTTATATATTCTTTATTTTAAAAATATTTCGTCAGTAAAATTCAGGTCTGAAAGGGTTAAACGGAACTATAAAATAAAAAATAAAATATATACTATCTGTTTGTTTCGAAAATACTCTTACCTCCCGCCGCGCATCCCGCACTGCACCGCAAGCTAAACCCGTTTAGTACCGATTGCATTGCAAGCAAGTACGCCCGTGAGCCACGCGCTCTTCGCCGTCACGTGTTAATTTATTTGTTATTGTGGTTATTAGTTGTGTTTTCGAGTACATAGCTGTTGTATTGGACGGACATTTCACGTACCATTATGAGTAAAAAATGAACAAGAATCTGGAATATCAGTTTCCAAAAGAACTGGGCAGCGCAGGTTGGCAGAAGAAGGATTAACATGCCATCGTCCTGTAAAAAAACCTCACTTGACTGAAGCAATGAAAAAAGCGACTGGCTTGGGCTAGGAAACATCGACAAATGACAATTGAAGACTGGAATAAGGTCAGTTTACCTTATTTTTGTTGTTTTTTCCTATTTGCTATTATATTCGATAACATTATTCAACATTACAATTTTTTTTTCAGGTGTGTTTCTCCGATAAATCAACTTTTGAAATTTTGGCCGACAAAAGTAGCTTCGTCAGACGGCGCCCAGGTGAAAAATATCACCGCGACTGTATCGTGGAGAGGGTGAAACACCATGTCAAAATAATGGTGTGGTCAGTCATAAGTGCTAAGGGTGTTGGACGGCTCTACGTTGTCCAGGGCACCATGAGACAACACCGATATAAAGAAGTGTTACAAAATCGATTGTTGCCAACACTCAGGGAATGGTTCCCTGATGGTGAGAACTTCACCTTTATGCATGGCTCAGCACCCTGCCACAAAGCAAGAAGTGTCACCAAGATTCTAGAAGAGAATAACATTCCAGTCTTACCTTGGCTTGGCAATTCTCCTGATACGAATCCCATAGAAAATCTTTGGGAGATCACTAAAGCATGAATTGCCAAAAAAATGATAACCACCAAGGTAAGACTGATTGAAAAGCTAATAGAGGTTTGGCATCACAATCCTAAAATAAAAAAAAAGTGCTAAAAATGCATAGAAAGTATGTCCAGACGCATAGAAGCACTAATTGCAGCCAAAGGAAATGTTACAAAATACTGACCAGTATAATTCAGCAACATCTTTTACTCATTTAATTTAATTTTAATTATTTTTAATTACTTTATAATATTTCTTATTACTTTTATGACATATAATGTCTATTATTTTGTGATAAATAAGCTATGTATGTATACCTACCAAAATAAACACATTAATTAATATGTCTTAATTTGATTAAATGTAGTTTTTGTTGCTATTTTACCAAACACTATTCAAAGTAATTTTAACAACGTTAAATACTAGGTGTCTCAAAAGTAAGTTCACATTTGCTTATCTTGTTACGCGAAAGCAACTATTCTGAGGGGCGCGGGGGGGTATGTCAGTCGGTAGTCTGGCTCTTGGGAATTTAGTCGCTATGGAGCGTTTCTCTGGTGCGGACCGTGCGTTGTGCGTACGTGAGTTTTACAAAAACGGTAATTCGGCGACTGTAGCGCGTAGAAAATTCTGCAGTATTCGACATATTCGTCACTTAAATGATGCGCCTAGCACTCGTCTCATTGCAAAATGGGTTGAGAAGTTTGAAGAGACTGGGTCAACTCTGGAGAAACCAAAATCTGGGCGACCAAGAACATCAAGAACAGCCGAAAACGTGGACAGTGTTACTCAGTCTATTCGAGATGATCCAAACCTCTCGATTCGGAAGCGTGCTGTTGCTTTAAATGTGCACAGATCTTCATTATGCCGCATTTTACACAAAGATTTAAAGCTGCACCCGTACAAAATTCAGTTAGTGCAAGAACTGAAGCCTCAAGATGCTGGTCAGAGGCTTGCCTTTGTAAATCAGATGATTGAGCGCTTTCCAACGTTCACCAACATCTTGTTTTCCGATGAAGCCCATTTTCACCTGAATGGGCATGTAAACAAGCAAAATTGTCGTTACTGGAGTGCAACCAACCCAAAACAAAAACATCAGAAACCGCTATATTCACCCAAAGTCACCGTATGGGCAGCGATGTCGGCGCGAGGAATTATCGGCCCTTACTTTTTTGAAGATGGAAGGGGACGCACACTCACAGTGAATTCAGAGCGTTATGTGGAGATGTTAGACGAGTTTTTCGTACCCCAACTGCAAAACTTTCCTGGTTACAACCAAAGAACATGGTTCCAGCAGGATGGAGCAACTTCACACACGTCCAACAGATCTCTGCCTCGAGTTCGAGAAATTTTTCCGAACAAATTAATCTCCTGGCGAGGTGACATAAATTGGCCTCCACGGAGTCCCGATTTAACGCCTATGGATTTTTTCCTGTGGGGTTATGTCAAATCAAAAGTTTACGCTAATAAACCGACTTCCCTGGCACAATTAAAAGAAAATATCCGTCATGAAATGGCAGCCATCACGGAGACTACCTGCCGAGCTGTCATAGGCAATTTTAGTGCCCGACTAAATGAATGCCGAGAGCGCAACGGTTTACATTTGGACAATGTTATTTTTAAAAAATAAATTCCCAAACAGTGTACTTCAATATAAAATAAACATTTTTTCAATAAAGCTAAGACTTTTCTTTTAAAAAAAGATTTAAATGTGAACTTTCTTTTGAGACACCTTGTACATTTTAAAAAACCTTTAACACGTTGAATGCCATGACGGACACCATAATGTCCGACAGCATACTTTACCCCGGGACCGCACCAATAAATCGTTAATCGTCCAAAAATCGTTGAGGTGTTTTTTCGCAAATATTGTCAGGAAATAACTCAAAAATAATGGGCGACTTACGGAAACCGCGATTTACTCATTATTTTCCGAGTTGTCAAATGGCAGACACCAGCGTCCGTCGCGGCCTGGGAGAACGTCCAACCGCCTTCACGTGCACGGGTCATGCTGTCGGCTCACCCCCGCGCTACGCCACCTGCACCCGCGAGCCCCAGCGAGACGCTTCACTCGTTAATTTGCTTTTGAGCTCGCGTAGGAGAATATATCGTCATTTTAAAAAAATTTGGGTACCGTGGAATTATAATGGAAGAATTCGAAAATGTTGAAGTGACCCAAGCAGATTTAGACCAAATCGAGAACATTGAAATAAACTTGTTGAATTCAAGTTTTAAGGTGTCTTCTGAAGATGGGATTACGAGATTTTTTTTTAGTATCACAGCCGAATAAACATCCTCTCGGAAAGTGAGGTGGATCAGAAAATACTGCACTTGATTTACCAGAACACACTCAAACTGATGGCGGTGGATGGGGACCTCCAAAAGGTAAACAACGTCGTTTGATTCCATTTAATGACATTTCGGGGCCATTGCATGCGGTCCGTTCCACAATGGTGAATAAGTCTCCAGCTGATTTCTATTCGCTTTATGTCGCTGATGTTATGTTACATTATATAGTTTCTGCAACTAACAAATACGCTATTGAACAAATAGCCAAGAAAACTAAGGGCGCGTTCCCACCGTGTCGTGACGACAGATAATCGTGTAGTAATACATATAATGTTAAATCTATACACAAACAAATTTTAATTTTAAGTCTATTTTACTTTTACAGCTACACAGATATCTACAAAGTGGACACATATTCGAGATGCATTTATGAGATCCCTGAAAAATGAAAAAGAAAAAAGCGATCTGGTGCAGGCGCAAAAACTACTAGGCCGTATGTTTATAAGAATCAGCTGTCTTTTTTATTAAAAGTTACTGAGCCCCGTATGACCTCTGATTCATCTAATGAGCCTAATAATTCTATCTCTGATACATTAAGTGATGCAGCACCTTCTACTCAAAAGAAAACTAAGACTGACACATTAGATGATAAAATGTCACAATTTCTAGATTATAAATTAAATAATCAAGAACACCCACATGTGTCCTTTATTAAATGTATTTTACCATCTTTGGCATCATTCGACAATGATGACAATTTTGAATTCCAAACGGGTATTATGCAACTGATTGAAAAAATTGAAAAGAAACGCCTTCGTAATAATTTATATGATACTTATGCAAACTATGGTGACTACCAAAACCATTTATCAAAACCGACAGGATATTTTACACAAGATCCAGGTGCATCAACTTCGACTAGCAATCAAGTTATGGAACCGGCTGCATCACCAAATTCAGTCTATACTAATTTGTCTGATAGCACACAAGATTCTTTTAATTTTGACAATATATAATTTAAAGATGTCTTTACTTATAAAACGTGTAACTCTAAAATAAATCTCTAAATAAATAAATGTATACATTAATAAAGAATTTTCATTTTATTTACTTACCTTAAAGTTATCACTAGTCTTTCTTCGGCACTTATACAATTTCTGAAATGTGTGTTTTCTCTTCTAAGATTGTCTGCAAGTCGTGCCAGTAGGCTATCAAAGGTGGAGACAGTCATTCTTAAATACTCATAAAACTTTCCATCATCACTTTTTAATTCTTCTATAAAACTCTGACATAATCCTAATGGAATTCTTTTCATTAACATTGGATGTACCCAGTACTTTCTTTTCATTTCTTGCTTCATTTTCCTTCTTTTCAAAAAGTAATACATTATTAAAATTTCATCTTCGTCCATTGAACTCAGGAGAGTAAACGCACTAGTAATCACCAAGCGAACGCAGAGGCGACTAGATTTGTAGCTTGCTGATGATGCGAGCGATCTGAGCGATCCAATGGGAACAGCTAGATACGACAGTCGCTAAACGATAAAAAATGTTGACGACAAACAATCGTTATAATGGGAACAGGCAGAGACGACAGTCGTCGAACGATAAATTAGTCGTTACGACATAGTGGGAACGCGCCCTAATGCTCCAAAATTATCGGACTATTGGTTGAAGGACGAAGTCATCGGGCATCCTTTTCCTAGAACTGTTACGTCACGTAACCGTTTCGAAATTTTGCTTCGCATTCGCATTTTTCAGAAGATGATGAACAAAACAAGTCCGACAGTCTTCATCGTATTAGGAAGCTGATGAACGATTTGAATGTGTCTTTTCGGCAACATTTTACTGCAAATGAAGATATTTGCATCGATGAGAGTATGGTGCCATTTCGTGGTAGAATCATATTCGGGCATAAAAACAAACAAAAGCGGCATAAGTATGTTGTCCAACTACTCAAATTGTGCTCTGTTCCTGGATTTACACACAAAATAGATGTCTACACTGGAAAAAACGACATTACAAACACAACACCCACAAATGCTGTGATGGATTTGTGTGAAGACTACGTTGACAGGGGGCATACTTTACACACCGACAACTGGTATAGTAGCACGGATTTAGCGCAAAGACTTTTGGACAAACAAACTCACTTGTCGGGACGGTGAGGAAAACCAGGCGGGGGCTTCCTAAAAAAGTCATCAGCACCAAAACTCAAGAGGGGCCATTATTATGCTGAAGAGTCGAGATGGAATAACGGTGTTAAAGTGCGATGTACTTGTGTTATCCAAAAAACACTCTGTGCGCTTCGTCGAGATCACAAAACGCGGAAAAGTTGTAAGGAAGCCGCAAATCGTCTTAGAATACAACAAAGTTAAAGGAGGTATAGATTTAGCAGATCAGATGGCTTCTTATTCAACCCCATTGCGCAAAACAATCAGATGGTATAAAAAAATTGTATTAGATATGAATATAGCTTGATAACGCCCATGTTTTGTACATGTAATGAAGATTTTAGGATAGCATAACTGGTTTTTTAAAAGTAGATTCTTAGACATTATAATTATTTTTTTCTAATGACAGGCTGTGATTTTAAAGATTTAAAGGATTTAGTTAGTTTTTCAAAGTTTCTTTGTTGGTTGGTTGTTTTATTGGCTGACTTCTGAAGACTTAAATAAAAATTATTAAGATAAACTATTGTTGTAATTACCTACAGAACCCATCCATTACTTATTTGATACGTACTTGACTGAAAACGATTATAATTCTAACGACTTAACAGTGCCCTAAAAAGCCTAAAAAATAATTTCTACCTATAAAATTAATGAAAATTGAATGATTCAATACTTACTTTATGTACGTACAACATTTTTGGAAACAACTTGTTGAAAAGCCCATAAATTCTAAGTCCTTTCGAATTGTTTTGTGCCAAGTGGCCAGGTTGAACTGTAGGGCTGCGCGGGTCACTTCCATTAGTAAAAACAGTCGAACCGTTCTCCGTCGGACCCCTAGAGGCTTCTGAAGTGATCGACACATGGTCTCCGACGCGGCTCCCTGGACTCGATATACTGGCGGTCACAAGGTGTCCGTCGCGGCCCACTGGGCTGAACATAATTTTTAGTCTGGCGTTCAACGTGTTAACAATATTTAAGAAATTACACTAACCTTTAGACTCTACACATTTTTTCAAATAAACATTCATTCATTCATTCCAATAATCGGGCAATCAACTTTTTTGCCATCAGTACTAGTTGTCACCGAGACGTCATTTTGTAACGGTCAGCGAGGGCATTCTTGAAACAAAAATATAGTAATACACAAAATACTACTGGAGACAATGTTATTTTTTCCATTTTATGTATGGTATGATTTATTAAACGCAGATGATTTAATTTATTATACGCTGATAGAGTTACTCGCTGTTTAGTACTTACCTTTAAAACAATACATGCACCACTTAATTTGTGTGCTTCGATAACAATTAAAATCCCACTTAAACGAAAATGATGCACAAAATATGTACTACAGACTTGAGACGTAAGGCAAACCTTTCGATTTTATTCATCATTAATAAAAAACAACTTTGCCGGCAGTATACGCTGATGGAGTGACTCGCTGTTTAGTATTTCCCTTCAAAACATAATGCACCAAGTTAATAGTTTTGCTTCAATAACAATTGAAATCCTACTCAAACGAAAAAGATGCACAAAATACTTCAGACTTGAAACATAAGGCAAATCTTTCCATTTTATTCATTATTAATAAAAAACAACTTTTCCGGCAGTATATTATTGCTGATGGAGTGACTCGTTTTTTAGTATTTCCTTCAAAACAAATAATGCACCAAGTTAATAGTTTTGCTTCAAAAACAATTGAAATCCTACTCAAACGAAAAAGATGCACAAAATACTTCAGACTTGAGACATAAGGCAAATCTTTCCATTTTATTTATTATTAATAAAAAAACAACTTTTCCGGTATACGTTAATAGAGTGACTCGTTGTTTAGTATTTCCCTTCAAAACAATGAATGCACAAAGTTAATAGTTTTGCTTCAATAATAATTGAAATCCTACTCAAACGAAAAAGATGCACAAAATACTTCAGACTTGAGACATAAGGCAAATCTTTCCATTTTATTTATTATTAATAAAAAAAACAACTTTTCCGGTATACGTTGATAGAGTGACTCGTTGTTTAGTATTTCCCTTCAAAACAATGAATGCACCAAAATATATTATATAGTTTTGCTTCAATAATAATTGAAATCCTACTCAAACGAAAAAGATGCACAAAATACTACAGACTTGAGACATAAGGCAAATCTTTTCATTTTATTCATTATTAACAGCTTGACTGCCCATTTCGCACCGGTGCGTAATGCGGGAGTGAGCGTGGAGGGCGCTTCTCGCACCGGTGCGGAAAGATAGCTATACAAATTACAAAGGCCACTACGCCGCGGGCTTTGCACGTAGAGCATCGTTTGTAGATTGGTCTTACGAGTGAATTTCCGGCGATTTTTTTACGTGAAGCGGTTTTGTATTACCTGTTATTGTTTGGCTTATATCTGCACATTATTATGGATAGTATTGCGGGTACTTCACGTACAAGAAAAAGGAAGTTTGTAATGAATTATGCTGAAAACGACAGTGATTTGGAAAGAGAATTATTCGCCGAAAGTGACAGTGATGAAATTTATTATCCTGACTATGATGAAAAGAGGAGTTATCGTCGGAGGATGATTGCCAGCCGCCTACGTCATTTTCTGTAACTGATATCAGTTTACGTAGCCCTGTACAAAAACTGCCACAGTCCTCACCTCGCAATCGCCACCTCATCATCAAGATGATGATCAGACAACTGATAAACCCTCTGCTGAAGTCTACTTCTCACTGGACTTCTGAAGGTGATATGAGACAATTTAATTTTACAAAAACTAATCGGTTTCTTGGAGAAATCAATGGAACAGAGCCAACTGATTTTTTTGACTTTTTTTCGACCAACAGTTTCTTACTATGATCTGTAACGAAACCAACGCGCAAGCAGAAAGGTTGTTTTTGTCGTCTGGTTCTGAATATTCTAGGATTACCCGGTGGAAAGAGCTCACTGTCCCAGAGCTAAAAAAATTTTTTGGTTAACTGTTTCACATGGGAACTGTTTCTATGAATAGAATACAAGATTACTGGAAGAAGGACAGGCTTTTTAACTTTCCTATATTCGGACAGCAAATGGGCAGAAACAGATTCCTTCTAATTATGAGATGTATGCATTTTACCTCAGAAACAGAAAGTAAGGATCCCTTGTTCAAAGTACGCCAAGTGATTGATTATTTCAATACTAAAATGAACGGTTGCTACTATCCTGACAAGGAATTATCGCTAGACGAGAGCATGGTGCTATGGCGAGGACGTCTCAGCTTCAAACAGTATATAAAAAACAAACGCCATAAATATTTATGCATATGGAATCAAGTTATACATGCTCACTGAACCCGATGGATTGATTCTAAAGTTTCGTGTATATGCTGGTGTAAAGATGCACAGATTACTGGAAAAGGACACGCGGAGAAAGTTGTCATGCATCTTCTAGAAGAAAAACTGGGAAATGGACATGAAGTTTATATGGACAATTATTACAACAGTTATATACTGGCAAAAAAGCTGCTCGAGAAAAATACATACTGTACCGGCACTTTACGTAAAGATTTAGGCCGCGTTCAGACGACACGCGCCCGCCCCGCCCACGCCACGCGCTTCTGCACCCGCGTCAAGCTCGCTTTGAAATTTGTTGATTTTATTTGAGTCTTTAGGCACATCAATGGATCTCAAATTGCATTTATTGAATTCTACCCGCGCACGCCACGCACACGCCACGCGTCCACCCCGCGCCCGCCTCGCGCTGTGGCTAGTGTTGTATTAACTGTGATCAAGTGTAGTCGCGTGGCGTGTTTTTTTTTAATAAATAAAATGATGAATAATATCGATAAAGAAATATTCATTTCTTTGATGGAGGAAATAAATTTTTGTCAAAAATAGCCCAACATATGGATACTGAGTCAAATATGCAACCAACCTTTAACACTGAAAGTGAAGACAGCCATGATACACTGGTCAGAAAAAGGAAGAAAGAACAAGTTCATAAAGAAAAAGATTTGAGTGCAGTAGATAGAAGAATGATTCAATTTATCGATTCTATGCAAAAAGAAGAAAAGAAAACCGATGACAGCAGAATTATGTCATTTTTCAAGAGTATTGCTCCAACAATAGAGAAGTTCAGTGACGATGAAGTTGTCGAATTTCAATATCAAGTTATTTCAATATTACGGAATTTTAAACAAAGAAATATAAATAGCAACACATCAGAATCTCAAAGTATACACCTGCAAGAATCCATCCAACTTCAGCCAACCTATGACACTGAAGCTTATGGATATTCTACTGCACCTGGACCTTCTAACGTGAGAAGCCAATCTAGACTTACTACTTATAGTTCCGAACTAGAATTTGACTCTTACACTCGAGTTGGTCAAAGTCAACCCAGTGTGCAATCCAGTATGAGTGACGACCTCGACTTTGCGACGCTGAATAATTAATTTTATTATATTTCTACTCCGACATCTACCGCTATGATTCAAGATAATTATAGTATTTGATTAGTGTAATTACTTTACCTTACATTTTCTGAAATTAAAAAAATGATTAAAACAAAAACCTGTTTTATTATATATGGTCACGTTCAAAAGAGTAGTCATAGTACTATAGTTTGAAATAATTTATTCAAAAAGGTCATGTGCTTTATTCTATATGTTTGTGCTTGTTTATATAAATTATATACCTTTTAGAAATACAAAAATATTTCAAACTATACGCTCACGCAAAAATTTTAAGCGAAATCATGACTACTTACCTCAAAGTTACAACCAGTCTTTCGGCAGAAGAAATACTATCTCTCATAACTGTGTGCTGATGCTCCAGTTTAATATTTAAAACAGACAGTAATTTATCAAAAGTCCTTTTAGTCATTCGAAGATAGCCATAAAATTCGTCATCATAATGGCGTAATTCCGCAAAAAGGACATGAAATTCGCCATGCTTCTCTCTGCGAGTTAATATAGGGTGAACCCAATATCTTCGTGTGGAATTAATCTTACTGTCTTTTTCTTTCTTCCATTGTTTATACATATAGTATATAATTAGAACTTTGTTTGACTTAGTCAAATCCATCTTATTTCAAACGTTTTCACGTTGTCACTACGTCTACTGAACAAAGTAGTCCAGTCACTAGTAGTTTATGCGTGCGCGGGATGTGCGCGAGGCGTGCGCGTGGCCAGCGCAGGTGTAATGCGGGCACAACGCATGTGCGGGTCCTGCGCGTGGTCGACGCGTGTCATCTGAACGCGGCCTTACGAGACAGTTCTAAAGAAGTGACACAAAAGGTATTGAAAAAGGGCGAAAACATATCATTGTTTCGAGACGGAATTCACATAGGAAAATGGAAAGATAAACGCCCGGTTACATACATAACCAATCAGTATGCTAATAATATGGTGCCAGTTACCAACAGACGGAGACAGATTACTCAGAAACCTGAAAGTATAGCTAAATACAATACATACATGCCTGGAGTAGATAGGCAAGACCAGCTTCTAGCATTCTATCTATGCGAGAGAAAAACCCTTCGCTGGTACATGAAAATTGCCGTACATATCTGTAGGTGAAAGTTAAAGAACCTTAAGTCCATTTTTGGCTGTTTTCATGTTTTTACAGATTCCGATTCGAAAAACTCGAATTTATACAATAGTAAATGACATTAAGTCCTAACGCCGTATTATTTTAAATTAGCAAATGTAACTGGATATTAAGTCCCTGAGTACATAAAAAGTAAACAGTCGTAAAGTTCTTTAATATCTTTTAGCGTTCATTTATAGACGACATTTCAGTGTTAAATGACATTATGTGGGACTTACGATTCTTTTGCACTAACTAGCGCATTGGCGCACGTCTTATTTATGTTTACCCCCCCGCCCGCTACTCTTGCGTTGCCACTGGCCACAACGGGCAATGCAATCGTGTCGAAGGCAGAGAAGATTTGCGTTTGATTTTAAACTACGTGTAATTTGTTGTTTTCGTTCATATAAATGAAACAAAATGTTTACCGGACGAGGAAGGAAACTTGTCAATATGATAAAATTATCAGGTATGTAATTTAAAGAGTTTTTCTGCCAATATATGCTACTTTTTCAACCTTGTAACGACATTTTGCAAACACCTTACTTTAATAATAATATCATACTTAAGTTAATAGGCCTAATTACTATCAAAGCAATTTTAATGAATACTGTAATGTTGTTGTTGTTGTCTTGCGATAACCCAAACTGTCAGCAAAAATAAATTGTATTTTATTTTATTTGAAAAATATATTTAATATATGGCGCACGTAAAGGCAACATTTATACTCCCGTTTCTTATGCTTATATTCTCGTCGAATGTCAGTTGAATGATAGTTAATGAAACAAAAATGTATGTCAAAATCTTGTCATAAACTGATTGAGATGAAACTTGATATGTATATGGAGACCTGTATGAATGCATAGTTTACTTTTTTATCGTGATATTGTCATAGAATCGGGACATACGCAGGAGAAACCGCAGGGCGCAACTAGTAAACTATATCTGTCAGTTCTGCCCCGGGTGCCAGCTTTCTACGTATATTGCGACATACTTTATCATCATTTTGTAATAAGTATGATGAATGGCGTTGTATCTAAATAAATTATTTACACATAATTTTTTTTTAGATGGTGACAATATAATAAAAGAGAATCAACCAGGATGTTCCAAATGGCCTGATGTAACAGTAGCTGAAGGGCAAAGCAGAATATTCGAACCGATGAATGAGATACTATCTCGCTCTGTATTACCTCCTACACAGTCATCACAATCTGATGATAACACCAATAGAACAGGCGAAAAAAGTGATACTTTGAGTGAGATTTTATCGACAGATGATGATGATTATATTCCAAACACAAGTGACTCAAGCGATTCTATTCCTTCGAAAAACAGACATAATGCAAGACCTCCTGTTACTATAAACGAAAGTTTAGAAATAGATACAGAAATAGGTTCTGAAGTATTTGTTGAAAAAATAAAAACCAGAAAACGGTTAAAAAGACCAGAAACATGGAAGTGTAATCTAAGACGTAAAAAGGCAATATCGGGCAAATTACATGAAACACAAAAAGGAAACATAGTTTCTGCTAAGACTATCAAGACCTCTTGTTCTTGCAGAAAAGGATGCAGTAACAAAATCAACGATAAACAACGAAGACATATATTTGAAAAATATTGGAATGAAGGAAAGACGTGGGACATGAAACGACAATTTATTTTGACATGTGTTCGGAAAAGAGCTACAGAAAGACGAAGAATACGCAAAGAAGACTCTAAAAAACAAAGAAATCATACTTTAGAGTATAGATTTCTGGTTGATCAAAACGAAATCGGTGTTTGTAAGACATTTTTCTTAGGAACTCTGGGTATATCCGAAACGGTGGTTCGAAATACAATTAAAAAATCTAGCTATGGAATTATAGAAGAAGACAAAAGAGGAAAAAAGGAGCCTCCAAACAAAACAAAGACTGAAGTAATAGAAATGATTAAAAAACACATAGAATCATTCCCTAAATATGAAAGTCACTACAGCAGAGAAAAAACAAGGCGTGAATATTTAGGTGCACATTTAAATTTAAAATTAATGTATAAATTATATGAAGAGGAATGCACAATAGAGAATGTTGATAAAAAAATGATTGCAAAAATTTGGACATACAGAAATATTTTTGATACTCATTTTAATTTAGGATTTAAACCACCGGAAACTGACACATGTGACGATTGCGATCGTTTTGTAATTCAAATGCGTGGGTCTGAGGGATCCGAAAAAGAGGCACTAAAAAGCAGATATGATGATCACTTGAAAGAGGCAAAGGCTAGATATGATTTAAAAGCTTTTGATAAATTGGAATGTATAAATACTACAGCTGGTAAGAAAGTAATTACTGTAGACTTACAAAAATGTTTACCAACTCCTTTGTTGACGAACAATCTTAGTTTCTATCTTCGCAAGTTGTGGACTTTTAACTACACAATATTAGATAGTTTCACGAACAAAAGTACCTGCATTATGTGGGACGAATCCGTATCAGGCCGTGGAGGGAACGAATTATCATCGGGCTTAATCAAATGGTTTGAAAAAAATGTTTCAAACACATCTACCAAAGAGGTTACAATTTGGTCCGATAATTGTGCCGGACAAAATAAAAATGTTCATATTATAATGTGCTATTTATGGCTACTAAAATATATACCGAATTTGCAAGTTATTAACCACAAATACTTAATGAAAGGTCATACCCATATGGAGGTGGACGGTATACATTCTATTATAGAAAGGAAAAAAAAAAGACAACCGCAATTTTCTATAATGACGCCGTGGGATTGGCAACAATTGATTAGGTCTTGTTCTTCGGATAAAGCACCGATAGAAGTTATCGATATGCCAAGGGAAGCATTTAAAAATTTACTTATTCTCCAAGAAGGTACCTCATCTCCCTTTGTTCATCGCAAAAAAAGGAGATATTGGTCAGTCAGTGCCTTACTCTGATATAGTATGGATGCAATTCAAGAAAGAAGACTATGGCACAATGTATTACAAAACTACTTTTAAACAAAATGAATTTGAAAAGGTGTCTTTGATAAGAAATCGAAGAAGATCTTTGGGCGATTTTACCCTACCCGCACTGCAGCCCATAAGACAAGATAGTAAGCCGATCACGACTAACAAATATCTAGACTTGCAAAAAGCTTTGCAATGGGTTCCGCCCATTTTTCACGACTTTTATAAAAAACTGGTTCATGATGGTACAGCGCGTGACCTAACAGAACCGGAATAATTTTTTTTGATTTTGATTGTGATTGATTTATAATATAATACAAATAAAGTTGTTAAAATACTGTTTTTTTATTGACATATCTAAATATTTTAGCAAAATATTCAATTTTAGGGGTTAGGTACTACAATATTACTATTTTACCCTTTTGTAATCAATTTTATCAATGATATAGGGACTTAACAAACATAACAATACTTAGTTATTGTAATACTCACCAAAGTTAAAGAACATTAAGTCCAAAAAAAAAACCTTAGGAGGCTTTAGTGGGTCAAAAATATATCAAAGGTCGTAGTTAAAGAAATAAATTATTCCTAGGTTTTTATTTCACATCGATCCGATATCTACTTTTTTATAAAAGCTATCTTTAATATTTCCATGATGTTTTAGTCGTCATTAATAGGATCTACTGTAAAGTTTATACATTGTGACTTAAGGTCTTTTACCTTTCACCTACAGATATATTTCAAATGCTATCCATCAACTCATATAAAATATATAACAAATATTCAGGCCAAAACAAACTGAATCTGTATGATTATCGTATAAGAGTAATAAGTTCCTTGCTGCCACAAAAACCATCCGAACCGCTGCCAATTTCAACAGCAGGTGGATCATCATCACAGCATCGGATTGCAAAA